CATTTGGATACAAAAAAAACTATCCAAGATACGTATATAAGTATATAACAACACGAGCAAGCAGTTAGCAACCCACGCAACATGCACACGTACAAGACGCTTAAAACATAAATAAACAAACTTCTAGGGATGTAAAATAAAAAAATGAAACGTAAATAATGTAACATAAACAAGTTTAAAATATTCCACATTCTCCCACTTAAACTTGTTCTACTCTTTTATGAGTTGAACCCCAATCATGCTCCTTAATTATGTGAATTTTGTCTTGTAAGGGGTTTAGTAAGGATGTCAGCCAGCTGTGTTTATGTCTGTGTATACTCCGGGCTGACCATTCCTTTTTCAACACACTCCCGGATAAAATGATACCTAGTATCAATATGTTTGCTTCTTTCATGATGGACAGGATTTTTGGCCAGAGCTATAGCGGATTTGTTGTCAACTTTCAATATTGATTCACCTTAACCCCTGTCAGTATACTTTCTAGTAGTTTGGTGAGCCAAATTCCCTCACATGCCCCTCCGATTGCAGCAATGTACTGAACCTTACATGATGAAAGTGCAACTATTCTTTGCTTCTGTGACACCCATGTGATAGGTCTGTCTCCTAGAAAGTACACGATTCCTGTAATGATTTCTATGCTTTCTATCATCCAAATCCTCAGCTAGATCAATGTCATTATAACCCAACAAAGCCTCACTTGTTTGGTTTCGTTTGAACACACACCCAATATTAATTTATTGTCCTTTTAACATATCTTAAAATCTGCTTTACTGCATTCAAGTGTGCAGTAGTTGGTGCCTCCATGTACCTGCTTACACTCCCTACAGAGTAAGTAATATTAGGTCTAGTGTTTGTCAAGTACATTGTAGGATCTACAGTTGGCTCTTCATCATACTTGCTGAATTTTCTTCTTGGTTCCATGGGAATGCAACAAGGATTGCATTATGTTTGACTCAAAGTTATGGTGTCTTTCCCTTGCTTCACGTACTTCAATTCCCATGTAATAGGAATTTGTGTGGTTCTACTAAATCATTCTTACTTTATTCTTATTTTTTTAATTCAATATCAACCACATAAACTCACTTTTATTGGTATGCGTGTCACTCCCTCTTGTACCATTGTTAGTGGGATGGAGAGAGTATTTGCTAAGAAGCAATAACTTTATTTTTAAACATTTGGGTACTATATAGTTATTTTAAAATCATTACAAAAACAAAAATCATAGAACAAGATTCGTTAATTCGAAAAAACTCCCAGCCTAAAGTGTCTCGGGTAGATTTTGGCGGACAACGACCTTGAACCTCTCGGCGGTGTTGTTGTTCTGAATAGCAAGAAAAAGATGAAGGTTGAAGACGGAGGCATAGTTCGTAGGTTGTAGCAATTGGTGACAAGAAAATAGTTTTTTGGTATGAGTTTATGATTGCTAGAATGCGTGGAAGCAATCAAGCTAATATGGACGATAATTGTTTCGAGTTTCTTGCATGTCCAACGATTGGTCTTGCTCATTTCTGGGCAGTCTATTCTATGTCAGAGAGTGAGAGGACCTATTGTTTATAATGAGACTAGATGGAGGGTGAGGGTCAACGAAAAACATGATGTGTGGTTGGTTGATCTTTTGATTTTTTTTTTAATTCAAGTATTTCCTCCTTAATAAAAAGAACCAAACAAGATTTGTTGGTTTAGAAAACGGACTAGAATTATTGTTTTATAGTTCAAATTTCAGGTGGAGGGTTTATGGAATGTAGGGCATGTTTGGTAATGGCTACGAGTGCTGGAATGCCTGAAAAGCTTGAAAAAACTGAATCTGCTGAATTGGAAGTGTTTGGTAATATATTGACTGAAATGGTTGATTCAATGTAGAATTACCCTAAGGGTATTTTCAAAAAATGGAGTTTGGTGTAAACCCATTCAATAGGTCTTCATTTGATGTCAACCCCTTCTCCATTATGCCAAGTCTTTCATTTCGCACCAGTCAAATTCCCCCAACAAATTAAGATCATTATATTGCACTTTTGCACAGCTCCTGCAAAGATATCCCCCACCCATTGTAGAATTGAGGTTGCACCAGAGCTAATAGACTCCCAGTGTAATTGTTGCCATAGCTCCAACAAACAATTTGTAAATGAACACCCAAGAAACAAGTGCAGGTCCGATTCCCCCGCCCACCCAACAAACAATGAACAACCGAGGCAAGGAACACCATGGTCATGAAAGAGAACCTGTCGATTTGGTGTCATGAAAGAGGAGTCAATCAGTTTATAAAAGTGGGAAAAGGAGTCATTACGGAAAGAAACAGTGAATTAATACGTTTCAGCCGAAAAAGTGACACTCTCGTTACTTTTTTGTCTGATAAGGAATATCAGCTCAAACAACCCATTTAGCCCGTGTTTGGTGATTTTTTCACACTTTCAAGCTTATAAGCCTATTTACGGGGCTCCAAACATCCACGTAAACTAATGATTTGGTTCCGGACCAGAACCTAGTACACCTCTCCACTTGCAACAATGTTTGGTGAACACAAAGTTATACACTTTGTTCACACGTTTTCAGAAGTTCCGATTTTCAAGACAACTGATGGATTAACACACATACAAGTAATATCTGTAGTGGATACAAACAACTAATGTCTTTTCGTTGAGTTTGATTTTTAAGTCAAAGTACACTGCTGAATGCGCAAATCAAATGTGGTGGCGCGTCAATCATTTTTGTTCGCAAATTAGAGATAAGTGACACAATATATAGAAAATAGGTAATCAAAGTGACAAATGACATTTGCTCTCCCCTTGGTCACATCAATTTTTTTGTGAGCTTTCTGCACGATACTTTTCTGAGAAATCTGTTGATCGGAAATTTATGTTTGTACACATTTTATATATTCTTTTTGTTTGCACCACCTTATTCTTTTGTCTAAAAATTTAGAATTTGTCCATTTTTTTAAAATATATTTAGTATTTGTCCATTAAAACAAACAAATGTGTATGACGTGTACAAAAACTATGTACATCAAACCACTCTGGTAAATTATACCGTACAGCCGGCTGTACGGTGAGCACCGTACAGCCGGCATTTTTGTAATTAAATCGGCGCTCTGCAACTCATCGACGAAGGGAAAGACGGGTGGATCCTGAAGAAGAGGGGCAAGATCCGCGCTCTGCAATTCATCGACGCCGTTTGAGTTCCAGAAGGATGGAAGAAGCAGGGACTGTGATCCGTAAGCTTTCCCTGGTGACGGTCCTGACGGATGATCTGAGGTGCCGTCATCACTTGCAGGAGTAACTTGTGAGCTCACCAATGAACGGGGGAAGTACTCGTTTGGACAAATGAAATAGAAAGCTACCCTACTCATTTTGGACAAATATAATTGTAGTTGAACCAATTTGAAATGAGTATAATGTCTAAAAGAAATAAACAAACACAAATAAATATTAAACACATTATAAATGAGTTTTATATTAAACTCAAATGAGTATACGTCTAAAAGAAATGAACTCACCCAAATTAATATTGAGCACATTGAAAATGAGTTTTATGTTAAACTCAAATGAGTTTATATTAAACTCAAATGAGCATAAGCTTAAAAGGAATGCACATACACAAATGAACATTGAGCATGTTAAAAATGAATTTTATGTTAAACTAAAATGAGTTAAAACCCAAAATGAATGAGCATACACAATTGAGCTTATGAATTTTTTGATACTCATTTAATTTTGTAAGTTATGTATGCTCATTTGGTACTTCTTTATACTCATTTTGAAATGTTGCACATTTCAAACGTATTATACTACATTTTATTAAACTCAAATGAGTATAAAGTCCAAAATGAATGAGCATACACAAATGAGCTTTTGAATTTTTGATACTCATTTCATAAGTTATATATGCTTATTTGGTACCTCTTTATGCTCATTTTAAAATGTTGTACATTTCAAACATATCACACTACATTAGATTTTACATATCAAAATTAATTGGAATTGAATACAGACGTTTGATACTCATTTTGTAAGTTATGTATGCTCATTTGGTACTGCTTTATGTTCATTGTTAAATCTCTCACATTTCAAACATATAATCCTACATTAGATTCACATATTGAAATTAATTGAAATTGAATATAAACATAATTTAAGAAAGGGAAAAGGTGCAAATAGGCCCATGTACTAACAAAAAAAGGTCAAATAAGCCCTTATTTAGGAGGCTCTGTCCGGCCGTCGTCATTTGGGGTGGTTCCCGGTGGAATTTTTTGATGAAATTTTTTGAGCATCTTATTCATCAATTCTAGTTTAGTCATACCAAATTTCAGCTAAAACTTCAATCGGGAAGGCATTCAAATGAATTCTTGAAGATAACTGCGCTTCTAACTGCGCAGTTATTTTCAAGAATTCATTTGAATGCCTTCCCGATTGAAGTTTTTGCTAAAATTTGGTATGCGTAAACTAGGCTTATTGAATAAGATGCTCAAAAAATTTCATTAAAAAATTTTAGCGGGAACCACCACAAATGACGACGTCCGGACAGAGCCTCCTAAATAAGGGCTTATTTGACCTTTTTTGGTTAGTACATGAGCCTATTTGCACCTTTTCCCTTTAAGAAATTTTTATAAACGAAAAATTAATAAAATGAAATTGAATTAGACGATATAAAACAGAGATCGTTGGTGCTCATTGTTAGCCCCCTAATACTCAACAGAACAGACTCGATGCTCATCAGATTGTATAAATGCTCGTTTAAGAGAAACCAAATTTTTCATCAAAAATTACAAATTTGGCACCGTTTTTTTATTTGTGGTATCAACTTTCCTTTAATAACATGACACTCATTATTAGACTCCTAATACTCATTAAAATTGAATTCTTGATCATTAACAGTTTACTAATAATCACTTAGCAGAAAACGCGATTTTTACATTATATTACAAAAATACCACCGGTTGTACGGTGAACTCCGTATAATTTTGTATACACCTCTATTTTACATGTGTACACACCATACAGACAATTCAGTCAAAGAAAATGGAAAAATAAGCCAAACCAGTCTCATATTGATTACTTGGCAATATTCAACGTTTCCCGTCTGCCCGTCTTGGTCCTCTCCTCTCCACCTGAGGGGCGAATTAGGCCGAGGTCGGCAGCTTAGATACACAGTCATCAGCTACACAATTATGGAGAGAGTGTGAGAGACCACGTAAACGAATCAGGTCCATTTGTTAACGAAGGATACACAAGAACACACGATGCTCCCGATCACTGCCGTCTAATCCCCTCTACCTCCGTTTGAAATTGGGTACTCTTCTCTTCTGCTGTGTGTTTCTTTCTGTAGTTGGTTTTAGTCTGCCAGAATGGAGGCAGTGACTTCTCCGTCAACCTCGCCCGGCCCCAGCTTGGAAGGGATTGATGATGTCGAGGACTTCCCATGGGTGATTCATTTGTTAAGTTCTTCTTTTCAAGTAAGTTTCGGACTGTTGAACGTTTTAAGAAAAACGAAGGTGCGGGTTTTGTTTGAATGCAGGCGAATGAGGGAGAACCGTCCATATCCCGGGACCGATTCAATCATCTCTATGGTCTTATGCAATTGGGGAACATCGCCTTCCGGGAGAACAGACTGGATGAGGTGGATTTCTCTCTCTATCTTACTTGATTTTGAATCATATCATGATTCTGAATAGCTATTTAAGGTTTACATTGAATCAAAACCATCTTTGTAGTTAGAGAGTAGAGTTTTATTTGCAGTTCACAAACCCTGAATTTATCTCACTTTTGAGTTTTGATGATAGAGAGAGAGGACTGTTCAGTGTTAGCACCCTAGTTACAATGAACGCATAGTTAAGAATTAAGCAGAGGTTGTTTTATTTATTTATAATCTTCTTTTAAAGTTGGTTTATCCAATGGAGTTTATGAGGCAATAATTTTGAATTTAGGCATTACTTATAAATCATTCACGTTTGTTCTTTCCAAGATGAGCTTGAAGCAATGAAACCAAACGCCAAATTAAAACTTGAAGCATCTGAATCACGCTTAAGGAAAGATATGTAGATTAAACCTATACTGTTCCATTTTTTATTTTATTTTATTTATTTAGTTCATTCTTTACTATGAATCCAGTATCTTTAGTATAATATGCATATGGTATATGAATTACTTTCATCGAATGTATTGGTTATATAAAACATTTCCCTGGGAAAAAGACCATGGCTTTGCTCCTGCTCAGTTTTCATGGGTATATTGGTTTTTTGGTCAAACTTGTTGATACTCTGAGAGCAGAGGTAAGGTATGTTTTTGTGGGCATTTACGTTCTGCATTGGAATTGCAACTGCGACATAATTCTGAAGTAAAAAAGTACTAGTGTGACATGTAAACTACATTTTGTGCGTGGGTGAAACTTTTGTGCATTGAAGTGCTTATGATAAATCCACTTTGAATTCTCTATTAGCTTGAGTTCTACTTTCCTGATTTCTTTCCTCTTTTCCAGGCAATCAATTGCTACTCCAAAGCTAATAATATTAAACCGAATGATTCCATCATTCTCAGCAACCGATGTGCTTCATACCTTAGGTATACATGTTTTTTCAGTCTCTTTGATGCCAATAGCCTAAATACTCACATTAATGTCATTTATGTACTCAAGCCTCTGTTCCGAAGTTGCATTCCATTTATACTCCGGTGATATCTAATGAATGGACTTACTTGTTGAACCAAAGATGGATTTTACTATTCTCACAACTCGTAACTGCAAATCTGTTAATAGGTTTAGCCAGTTTCTGAAGAATAGATCTTCATCAGATTCAGAATATATGCCATTGAGGGGGCTGGATCCTACAACATATTCTGCGGTCTGTTATGGTGTTTGTGTTTTTTGTTATAAATGATTATTAATCTCTGATAGCGTGTTTGTAACTTTTTTATGCATTAATTTTCAGCTTGCGCTGAAGGATGCTGAGAAAGTGATGACTTTAAGGAAAGACTCTCTAGCATCATACATACTGAAGGCAAACGCACTCATTCTGGTAGGAATATGATTCTGATATGAAAAGCAAAATTCAATTAAAACAAAAATATATCGAAAATAAAAGGGTGAAGCACACAAAAATGCAATTGATGAATGCATGACTTAGCATGGTGTAGAAGGAACTGTTGTCACACATTAAATTATGCCGTGAGGGGAATCACCTCTAGAAAACATTTCTCAGTTACCCCAGTGTGTGCTGTCCCTTGTTTGATCCCGACATGATGAGCATAACTTAGGGGCTTAGATTTTGAGTAGGCATCACTGCCATTGCTTTCATTTCTTCTGTAGCGTAGTATATTTATGAGTAATTGGGTATGTGTGACATGTATTGTGCTGCATTTCTTACTTTTGTTATTTTTTTTCTGTGACTTACTTTCACTGCTTGCACTTGCAAGACTAATAATTTTGTTGCCTGATGATGTCCTTTTTAAATTGATCGGCAGTTAGAAAAATATGAGCTCGCGCAAGATGTAATTTATTCAGGCCTTCATATAAATCCTTTAAGGTAATTTGACACTGTAAAACATTTTAGAAGCATGCGATTAATTTTGTGTCTATTATATAATGCATGCACAATTCCTATTAAGCATTTCCATTCTTTATTTTTAGAAGCATCCTAATGAAATGCAAAATTTTCTATGTCTTGTAACTAGCAAACCTCTTCAAGAGTTGGAGAAATATGTCAATTTAACAGTTGGAAGGAAAATCCATGAAAGGCCACAACGAAGTGATGATTTTGATTGCACCCTTTGTTTAAAGTTATTGTACGAACCAGTTACAACTCCCTGTGGGCATTCATTTTGCCGCTCATGCCTTTTTCAATCAATGGATCGATGTAACTACAAACCTATTAGTCCTTATTTCTTTCCCATTTGGTCATGCTAATTTTTCCTCTTCCCTCCCTCCCTCTCTGTCCCTCCATTTCCTCCTATATGTTACTTAATGTATATATATAGATCCCCTTTTCTTTAATGGCGGCTGATTTATTTTAGGTAACAGATGTCCATTATGCCGCACTGTGCTCTTTATTAGCCCTAGAACATGTGCAATCAGGTGCTCTTTAAGCGGTCTCTTCATGAACCTACATGAATTGATGAAGCTGATTTTCTATTGCTGAGACTGTTCTATCTTCTTTTTCTATCCCTTAGTGTGACACTTAACAACATCATCCAGAAGAATTTTCCTGAAGAATATGCCGAGAGAAAAGCAGAAAATGATTCCTTGATAAATCCTGGTGTTGATTTGCTGCCACTTTTTGTGATGGATGTTGTTCTACCTTGCCAGAAGTTTCACCTCAACATTTTTGAGCCACGTTATAGACTTATGGTGAGTTCAGTGTCTGAGGACCTTTTCACTTTTATAAATTTATAGTTACCACTTGATAAATATGGCGTAACATTTATGAAGTGCTTCAAAAACAAGTCATTTTGGTCCTTGAGTTTAATTATGGTTGTTATGTATTATATTAAACATTTCTGGAAAATAGAAGTTTTTATGAGTCATGTTTCTGTCGAATAACAGTGGTTGATTGCCTGCTAAAATGTTCTAACTAGGTAGTGTTAAAGAGTTTTTCTATTAATGAAACATGGCTCTTCTCCTTTTGCTTTTCCATTTGTTTTAAGAGTGATTTGAATCTATGCATGCTTTTCGTATTGTGTTGGGCTTGTGTGTAATCATCATGGCACTTTCATACAGATCTCTTAATGAACTTCATTTATATATTTTCAAACAGGTGAGAAGGATAATGGAAGGAAACCATCGAATGGGAATGGTATAACAACTGTCCCCACATTATCTTGTATAGTTATTGATGATGCTTCAGTTACTCATTAGTTTATGCTGAGTCCTTCCGTTAATGATGTAGGTTATCGTTGATTCTGCGACAGGTTCTATAGCTGAGTATGGTTGTGAAGTAGAGATCACAGAGTATGTATTTCCTATGATAGTGTGTTTTTTGTGCTAAAATGTTTATGTTTTATCATTCTTATTTATGGAAGCTGTTAAACGTCATAACTGTGTGCAGTTGTGAGCCACTTCCAGATGGGCGCTTTTTCCTAGAGGTGGATTCTCATACAGCTCTCAGTTTCTTACTATATTACTTCCTTTGTGTTTTGCATTGACTGGACCATATCTTATAGTTCAAGAATGATGCTAGTGTGTTATGGGTTCATTTGGCTGTCTGGGTTTATTCCAACATATATGTGGGTGACTGGTAAATGCTCTAGGATTATGTAAACTTAATGAATCTCCAAATCTAATGACATTGGAAACATGATGACAGCAAGTCATATTTGGGTCAACTGGTCAATTGGGACGGGTATCATATGAAGACATCAGTTGTATTACCCCCTCCCCCCCAAAAAAACAAAATTGTTTATTGGTGTTCAAGTATGATACCTGAAAGCATATCCAATATATATTGTGGGAATGATGGTGCAAAATATAGCAGTAAGGGAAGTCTGAATGCTGTTATGCTTTTTTATCTTTCTGAAAAAGCATGTCCACATCCAGATATGTAGTGTGTTAGATGGCTCAAATTGACTAATAAGCAAGGGACAGAGCTAAAATACGACAAAGATTTTATAATTTTTTGACTGGTAAATAAGCAAGACACAAGTTGTTTGTACTAAGGTTTTATTCCTTACCCTTTCTCACATTCACTGCTAATGAGACGCAACTTCAAGCAGATTGAAAGTCGTCGAAGATGTCGTTTTGTTCGTAACTGGGATCAAGATGGGTTAGTAGTTTTAACTTAACTACTGTAAGCCTATAAAATGCTATGTCCATTTATCATCTTCTTTCATGCTTGTGGGGTTATGCCTTCTCACTGTATTTCTGATTTCATGCAGGTATCGAGTAGCTGAAGTGGAATGGGTACATGACCTTTGTCCACCGGAGGGGACGATAGAGAGACATGAAGTAAGTTTCTTTTTATGTAAATCATGTTTGCATCTTTGTGAGTAATTTGATGCCATATGTGTATGTGTGTAAGTGTTCAAATATAGAAGGCTTCTTAGGTGAAGAATAAGAACTAATCATGGTCATTGATCTAATTAAATCGATGAATGAGATGAAATTTAAAGCGAAAATGCGGTAGCATTTTCGTAACTATCTTACAGTTGAGCGTCTAGATAGTGTACCTGTTATACATTTAGTGCATTAGTATACCCGTATACGCAAAAGGTGCATTATATGCCAAACAAATTATGCTAGAATCAAACTATTGCAATAGTTCCAAGTATATGATTGTAATGCACTTTTATGATACAACGAGTCAATGATACGTTTTTTCATTTTTGTTGAATATTTAGAATTATCAAAATTACGTTAAGTCGCTAGTGCAACCAATTTTTTTAATGAAAAATTGTTTTAATCCGTTCATTTTGAAGCAATGAGTGCTCAAGATTCATTCTCAATTTTCATAAGGGTATAGACACACACATATATAAGGCTACTCCTATCCTGAAATGGATGTGACATGCTATTATAGTGTTATTATTTGGTCAAACTGCCCTTTAATTTTTCTTGTTTTTATGCATCATTGAATAGTCAACTCACCTCTTGCTATATACGAGTAGAACTTTTAGTTTATATTTAAATATATGAATTATATTTACTAAGTTAAATATTACGGAGTACAAAATTTAAGTTGAAAATAACTTCAATCACTCTTTGCCTACTACCATTTCACGATAACCTTCATTTGAGGAGGGGAAGTTATTTCTTCTTGTTTAGATGCTAATGTGTTTCTTGGTTATGGTCTTTAAAGAGTTCCTTTATACTTCGTATTATGTAACCCATTATCGTTTCAAACCATATAAAGAGGCTAATAGAAAACCCGGCACCTCCATCATGTAAGGTGTACTCAGCTTTACTTTGATAGAGGTTTTTTCTAGGGTTTAGACCCATTACTAAAATGTCAATGCATAAGCACTTAATTCTACCTAATGGCAAATTTTGTATCCAGGAATATTACTTCCCTAGTTCCCTCCCATTGTTAATTCCTTGTCTTGCCTAATTCTGATGTTTGGTGCATGGGAAGACTTATTCCACATGAGTTATAATTACTAATTTGTCCCCCACATATTCTCTTTTCGGTTCGTTCCTCGTTTATTCTTCTGTGACTGTCTGTGTACCAAACAAGCCATGTACCCAACTACCCATCTAATGAATAGATGTGTGAACGCATGACCGTTATTGTATTGCACACTACATTATCATTATTAGCACGACTTTGATCCCAATTCTGTTAAGATCACTGACCATTAAATTCATATTGTTAGTGTTTGTTTAAAATTATTTAACACTATAGATTAAAGTGAAGTAGGATGGTGGAAAAAAATTTGAAACTACATGTTTCGTAGCTAATATTAATTTCTTGCTGAACTTGAGCTTTTCATCAAGCGCCTTGAGCAATGTAACTTACTAATTTACAGATCTTAATTTAGGAGGCTTGTCCTAGTTGTATTTGGTTTAATTTCTCAAAATTTGTAGTTACAGGAGTTAGTCAACAGGTCAGCAGTATATGCTCAGGAGTGGTTCAAGCATGCAAAAGAAGCAGCTCACGGAGGTAAATAAGTGAAAAATAGGCATTAAATAAAGCAGTTTGCTTCTTACCATTTTGTGGATTGACTTCATGGCACACAGGAATACATGTGTGCGCATGTGCATATATGCATGTGTGTACAAGTATAGTATTTATATAAAGGATAGTGTGGTGGATATTATTTGATTTTACTTGCTCTAAGTGGAATTTTGTTTGCAGACCGCATTCGACTGGCAGAACTCTTTAAAGCCGAAGGAATGATGCCATCAACGCGGGACCCTGAGCGGTTCAGTTTCTGGGTATAAATTTTTGAAGCTAACAACGACTTGACATTAAAAGGCTGTAGCTTATTATGGTTATTGTCTAAAATCTTAATGCAGCTTGCAACCGTGGCAAATCAGAGGCCATCAGAGAGATTAGAGCTCTTGCGGATACGGGACACTAAAGAGGTCAATATTTTTTTCCCTTATTCATTGGCATATTATGCCAAGTACAACGGGTAAAACCTATGTTTGAAAAACTGGACGAGACCAGCCTGGTCAATCTGGAAAGGGTGACCCGGTCAGTTCAAAACCTGCAGCCATTCAAACACTAGGAAAACCCAGCTGAACCGGTTAAACCGGACCAGACCCAGGTTTTGGCTTTTCTTGTTAAGGACTTGTATATTTGGATTGTATTTTTCTTTTTTGAACTGGCTTTGTTTGGTTTATTCTTGTGGCATCACGTCTTGTCTTTTTCTGGTTGATATTACGTATATGTTGTTTCTATGTGATGCCGGCCTGGTCTATTTAAGTTTTGTTTGTTAAGCTGTTTAAATTTGGTCTGATCCTGGATTGAAAGAAGTAAATGAACTGCTCCTAAGCACTCTATCTAATAAAATTGTAATATTGACTTCATAAAAGGTAAAATTTATGTTTTGTATTCTCACGGGTTTAATACATCAAATCCCCTCGTAATATTTTTTTTGGAGCATTAGCCCCTTCTAATTTAAAAAATGCGTCAAACCCCCCGTATTATAATTATTCATGTGCAAAACCCCCTCCAAACGAACTGCCAAATAAAAGAAAAATGATAAGTATTTTTGCATAATTTAGAAATCTTGACAAATTTACTTGCATATTCAATCCTTATATTAAGACACGTGATTTCCAAATTGTTAAATTTGTTCTTGCAGGGCGTTTTATGCATGAATAATTGTAACACGGGGGGTTTGACGCGTTTTTTAAGTCATAGGGTTAATACACCGAATTTATATATCACGAGTGGTTTAGTGCATTAAACACTAGAAATGTATAAAAAGTTAGCTAATGATCCCCTTGATGGCACACCGCACACAGTTTCCTGATCTCACCTTTGAATGTCTAATGCCACTTTACATGCTCTAACCAAAGGATTCCCACTTGATTATTGATTTCTTTTGCAGAGAATTAGCCGAGCCCTTATTTTCATGAGGGTGGAGGCACAGGGTTGTTGAGTACGCCATAAAGGAACGATGTATGCCGCCACCTAGTGCGTGTAGTATCATCAATACATATAAACACACTTATGATCATAATCAGCATTCTTTCATCCACATTTTAGAAGTGGAATGTGGATCCTAACCCTCACCTCTTTCTTCTTTTACGTTTTATACTTTTCTTAAGAGTGCTTATATATTTTTGTGTAAAGAGGTTGAATACTCTTAATCATAGTTATTACCAAGGTATACATATATATCTTGGCTCTCGGTTGCTTATTTATTTGGACACTTCACTTTCCGTGACAGTAGAATTTGCAGTGAAGGTAAATTACCTTCACAATGCTACCGTCCTAGTGAAGGTAATTTGTGCCATGTCATCCATATGAGACATTGTATATTAAATTTCGGTACCAATGCAAGTAGTCTCGGCAAAATATATGGTACAGCCGGCTGTACCATGGGCATAGCCGCATAGTACAGCCGGCATTTTTGTAAATAGTTTCAATTCAAATGGCAATAGTTAAGTTAGTTCTTCCTGGGCATGCTTACGGCTCAGTTGCTTGTTGATTTTCTTTTACTTTCTTCTATCTTTCTTCTTTTCTTTGTTTCGATGTTTTTCGTGCTTGTTTGTTTGACTTTTCTTTCTTTTGTCTTTTTCCTTTTATTTTCTTTACGTGTTGGATTTTTATTTAACAATCTTTTATTTTAATTTTATTTTCATTTAATTATCATTAAAATGTATTCTATAAAATATTATTTAATGTTTGAGTTTGTTTTTATTCTTTTTCCAATCACCTTTCGAACTTAAGTTTTTTTAATTTGTGCATTATAAAATATTTTAGGTATTAATGTTTTATTTTTCTATTTTAAATTTTAAGATGAGTATTTATCAGTTTATTAACTATTGTGTGTTATTGCTAACATGAGTTTTGTGTTGTACTAAAATGAGTATAGTATAAAATAAATGTGCATGAGTAAATATTATAAGAACACCACGATTATATTTGTAATTCAAGAAAAAAGACTATAAATTATTTTGAAAATAACATTTTTGTATTTCTCATTGTTATGTATAATGATAGTTTATTAAATTGTTAATAACGAATCTAATAGGTGTACATAGTATAAGAAAGAGACTGTTATATTCGAATGAGCATAATGATTAAAAAAATGAACATACACAAATGAATATTTGAACATTTCATTTCATCATTTTCGTTTATCCCAGTGCCACAAAGGCTCCCACCTATGGTGGGGTAGGGCGGTTGAATGTACGCAGTCGGCAGTCTTATCCCTGTTCTAAAGCACAGAGAGACTGTTTCCGAATGATCCTTGTACACAAATGAATATTTGAACACATTAGCTAATTCAACGCGCCTTCGAATTTTTTTATCCTCATTTTGTAAGTTACGTACGCCCATATGGAATTGGTTTTATGCTCATTTTAAAATATCATATCAATACATATTTCAAAATTATGAAATTATATTAGATTCGCATGAGAGTTAATTATACTATTATAGACAGGAGAGTAAAGATCATACCCAATAGCATGATTCTAATACTCCATAGAGGTGGTTTGATGTTCAACTAATAAAACTATGATTTTCATATTAGTTGATGTTTTCATATCAACTAATAATTCCAATAGGTCTAGTGCTAATTAAAAGTTCAGTAATGCTCATTTAAAAGAAAGCGTTATTTTCATCTCAATATAGGAGGTTTGATGCTCAATGAAAATGTCGTGACGTCCAACTAACAAAACTTATGATTTTCATATTTATGCTCATTTTGTAAGTTACGTATGTTCAATTGGTACTCATGTTATGCTCATTTTTAAAATGTCATAATAATGCATATTTTAAAAGTACCATATTACATTATATTCGCATATTGAAATTCATAGGAATTGATTATAGATATAATTTAATGAGTTTTTATAAAAGCAAAAATAAGAAAAAGAAAGTGAATTACAATATATGAAATTGATATCGCAATACTTATTATTTGACTTTCAATGCTCAATAGAAAACGTCTGATGCTCATTACAAGTGTATTAATACTCATCAAACGAAAATCGCGATTTTCACTGATATTACGAAAATGCCACCATTTTTTAGTTGTGATATTAGCTTTCTTGTACTAACACGGTGCTCATTAAAATTAGACTATTGCTTATAAACAGTACACTAATGCTCATTTAGCACAAACCGCGATTTTCACATTAATTACAAAAATGTCACCGAATTATTTTGCTGTTTTTTCCTTGGGCCTGTTACTTTCCTTGTTGGGCTGACGGTACGGTGTTCACCCTAGAGCCGGATGTATAATACTGAGTATACACTTCCAGTAGTCTCCTGATGAGTTGGCAAAATAAAGTTGAACGGTGTAGAAAGCGTGTTTCACCAGTTCGTATATCGTGGAACCCTCCCACGATGAGCACCGTACTCCTGCAATCAAAACGACACAGCTTTGCATTTTTTTAATTAAAATTTTCGCGCATGAACAGTACCCGCGTGTACAGTAGTTTTTTTCTTTGTCCAAGTAGCAGAGTGATGTAACTCACGTGTAAAGAAATGTAACTCACGTTATTGATCAATGTAACTCAAGTCTAGTCGAAATGTAACTTGTCCAATACATAGTATAAGAAATAAAACATTTATTTCAATTTAAATAATGGAAATAAGAGTCTAATTGCACAATTATTTTACAAAAATAGTGTATATGTTTTGTTTTTAGTATATCAAGGCTATAAAAATGATTTTTAATAAAATTAATTTTTCTTTGAGTAGCAGAGGCTTATTGAAGTGTGTAACTCACATTATATTGTGGTGTAACTCGCATTATGAAAAATGTAAATCACGTGTAAGTGGATGTAACTTGTTGAGAAAAATTGACATGTAACTCACGCTTATAGATATGTAACTTTAAGCAAATCCAGATGTAACTTGAGCGTACGCAAAATGTAAATTGAGAAAGGTCTAAGAACTTCCAGTTGAGTTCTTAAAAGTTAATCTGTGCAAAATTCCAATGAGTTCTCAGTTTTTTTCTTTTTGAGTATTAGATGAAGTGCGCCCAAATCGAGTCTCTATTTCGCTGTTATCTCGCAAGACACAGATCAAGCCTCTTAATGAATAATCAATTCGAAGTGCACACAAAAATATTAGGCTCAGAAGTCTATGGGAACAGAGCATGGGTTAGATGGATTGCCGCGACAAGATTTACGCTTCAAATCAGCCATCAAGGCTAAGCGCCGCCGCTGCCGTGCCGCTGCCGTGCCGCCGCCTCGAGGATGAGAAGTTGCATCGCCGCCTCTAGGATGAGCAGTTGCACCGCTGCTACTTTCTCTCCGGCGAGTGTCATGACCAACTTCTGATGCTCTCTCTCAAGACGGAAGAGACGCAAGCTCTCTAATCTGGGGCAATAACAACGTGGAAAGTTCCTATACCGTGGGATGATCCCACGGTGAGCACGGTGCTCCTGATCCAAAACGACGCAGTTTTACAGCGATTTTTAATTAAAAAATTCTCGCGTGAACAGTACACGCGTGAACAGTACTTCTTTTTTATTTTTCTCTTGTTCCAGTACCAGAATGGTGTGACTCATGTGTAAAGAAATGTAACTCACATTATTGATGAATGTAACTCAAGTCTAGTCGAAATGTAACTAGTTGAATACATAACATAAGAAATAAAATGTTAATTTCAATGAAAAAAAAGTCTAATTGCCCAACAATGTAACATAAATAGTGTATATGTCTTGTTTTTAATATCTGTGCTATAAAAAAAGATTCTTTATGAAAATTATTTTTCTTTTAATAAAAGGGGCTTATTGTGTTGTGTAACTCGTATTATGCAAAATGCAAATCACGTGTAAGCAAGTTGACATATAACTCACGTTAATAGATGTGTAACTCGTATTATGCAAAATGAAAATTATTTTAAAAAATGATCCTTTTGTTTCATTAAAGAGTGTTTGTTTTGTGATGTAACTCATATTATGGAAAATATAACTCGAATTGATATCAAATGTAACTCACGTTTATGCAAAATGTAATTTGTTAAGACGAGTCCAAATGTAACTCGCGTACATGAATGATGGAAATCACGAGTAAAGAGATGTAACTCACGAACAAAAGGATGTAACTGAATGTATTTTCAAATGTAATTTGAGCCAAATCAAAATATAAATTGTCCAATACAATATAATATACTACGTATATATTAAGAAGATTCCTAAAAAACTTCTAAGTTACTCATGCCTTTGCCAGCGATATTCTCCCATGCCTTGAGATCCAGAGTCTGCTATATTCTCCCATGCCTTTCTGGCATAATACGGAGCAATTAAATGGGCAAGTTGGCTCTCGCAGGTCAAGACGAACACCAGGGAGAGGGAGAACTAAGTCGGCGACAGTGCGGCACCAGCTATTATTGCTCACGAACAAGAGTCGGTTGTTTTTTATTTAATAAAACTATGTAGTTTGGGATCGGCACACCATGCTCATGGTGGGCCGATCCCACGGTATAATTTGCGACGTGGAATGCTTTCTTTTTTAATTAATACGGAGTAATACTATGCCGTTTTGGGACCGGTGCACCGTTCTCATGGTGCACCGATCCCACGGTATAATTTGCCGTGTTTCACTTGCTGACATGGACATAACCGTAAGAGTTCCTTCATCACCTTTCACTGTAACTCTTTGATCTACAGGGGGTGTCCTGAAAATGGATTTTGGAGGATTTTAATGGAGTTTAGAAATCCTGCAGAATTCGGGTGTCCCCAATTTGGATTTCTGTGGAATCCGTGAAAATACGGGTGTCCTCAAACATTCCATAGACTTCAATTGTTTTTTATTTGGATGGATTTTAAATGATTTTGATTGAATTGTGTATACAAAACAGATCAATTCGAAATCTTCTCAACACACATCGGATTTCAAAGGATTTGAAATAAAAAATCAAACATAAAAGAGAATTGTCCGGCTCCCCTCCCAATTGTGCGGCCGGAATGGGTCACAATTAGGGAGTGTTTGCAATTGCTTCTGCTTAAAAAAAAGCACTTTTGGAGATGTAAGGAAAAAGTGATTAGTAGGAAAAGTTGATAGTGTTTGAGAAAAAAGTGATTTTGAAAAGTAAAAGTTGATAGTGTTTGGTAAAATAAGTGCTTTTTGTGTAATAGAAAGGGGAAAAGCACTTTTCACACGCAAGCCGAGAAAAAGTAAAAATTGGTAGTGTTTGGTAAATAAGTGCTTTTTTAAGCCAAAAGCTGAGAATTGCTTTTTTTTAAGTGATTGCAAACACTCCCTTAGTCACATGTTCAAAGCAGCTGCCCGGCTCCCCTTCGAGTGCAAGTAGACGGTTGTTGTGCTGCAGATCCCATAGAGCAGCCCTTGCAACCCCGACGCTGTAGATCCCCAGTGGCGTGAAGTTGCCCGACATCACTGCGAGTGCAACCCACATGTTCTTCTTCCATGCTCTTACTGGTTGTTCAATTCCATTAGCTTCATGAGATGAAC